TGCCTCTCTCACACTCATGAGGCGTCCCGCACCGCTGCGAGAGAGACAGAGCGACGAGAACGACTCTCGGAATCAGTCTGCAGCCACGGCGACCCACGTAGTACCCTCAAAGGGCGCTGCCGTAGGCGCACCCAGAGGTGCCACTCGTTGCGCTGAGCTCGGCACACCGCAAAAGGCAAAACTTGAGCTTTTCAAAGTTGGGCAAAGTTGCAAATGTCGTTTCCCTGCATCGGCATGTGCCGCAGACCCCGGGCTGGAGGAGGGTTCCGAGTGTCCGGCATCGTCGCTCTGTCTCTCTCGCACCCACACGGGACGCCCCATGAGTCGGAGAGAGACAGAGCGACGAGAACGACCCTCGGAATCAGTCTGCAGGGCCCCAGCTGCAGGCAGAAGCGAGACGTGGGGGACGCGAAACGCCCGGCGGGTAGGCAGGCCACTCTGCAGCCGTGTGGGCGTGCGCGGCGTGTGGCCTATCCGTCGCTCGGCGGGCGCTTCTGCCACGCTGGCTTCTGCCGCGCCGAGCGGTGCGGTGCGGTGCCTTCGCCTCCCATCTGCCATGTTCCGTTCCATGCAGCGCCCGGGGAGGCGAGGGGTGAGGACACTGGCCCCGCGCGGGTTACACTACACTACTCTGAGCGACGCGCGTACACACCGCCTTCGGACTAACTTGCACCCTGCCGTGGTGCGGCCTGCCCCGCCCCGCTAGGTGCGTCCGACTATACTTGACTTGAAAGGAGCTGCCGTACCCGTACCCGCTCTGTGTTGCCCTTCGTCGGTCTGCGGGGTCTTTTTGGCCGTCCCTTCGCGCCTGGCAGCCGACAACACTCTGACGCACCTAACTCCCTTTCACTGGCCGCGCTCGTCAAGGAGCAGACTGATCCCGAGAGTCGTTTTCGTCGCTCTGTCTCTCTCGCACTCGTGGGGCGTTCCCTATAGGTGCGAGGCAGACAGGGCGACGAAAACGACTCTCGGAATCAGTCTACAGGCCGGCCGGCTGACAGCCGCGCGTCGCCACTCCGCCATTCGGACTGCGAATAACGATAATAAAATGAACTGACAGCAGTAGGGCCGCCCATTGAATAAGGGCTTATTAGTGGCGTGACGAGGGATGCCCTGGCGGGGCCTGGGGGTGGGGGTGGGGGTAATAAGACCCACACGCGGCGCGCCGCTCGCTCTGTGCGTGTGTTTGTGTGTCCGGGGCAACCGAAAGGAAATGGAATTAAAGGTGTGGAGGGTCCTTGAAACAAGCTCTGACGTGCGTGGCGGGGCGTGGCGGGGCGTGGCGGGGCGTGGCGTGGTGGGGCGCCGCGGTGGCGGCAGCGCTGCGGTGTCGCACCAAAGTGATATTCATCGCGAGGGAAAAGTCACCCGTCCCGCCACGCCAGCAGGGCCAGCTCGCACGGTGGGGCAGAAGGCCGTTGCAGGCGGCAAAAATTCCAGACGCGTTTTGAGCTCCAGAGTCGCTAAACGGGACTGGAACAGAACATGTGACCCCACCAATGGATTGCTCTTCGAACGAGGAGTCCATTGGTGGGGTCACACGTCCGGTTCGAGTCCTATTTACCGACTCTAGAGCTCAAAACGTGTTTATAGTTGTGGCCGCCTCCACTAGTCTCCTGGCCCACTGTGGCACGGCCAGCAGCAGCACAATGAAGCATCCAGGAGCTTGCGAGCGCGGCGGTCGCCCCACCCAAGGCGGACACTCTCTCATTCCGATTTTACTTTTATTATCATTATTTATCTCCGACTCGCGGTCGCACGCGCTTTTTCGTTCCTTCACCTTGCTTTGCAATTCTAATCGCAAAGCTGCTCGCAAGTGGTCATCGTCAGAGGCCGCCACCCTGGGCCGCGGGCCGGCCGCCCGCGAGGTCACAGATATTCCCTTCTCTTCCTCCTGTCCTTTTTTTTCGTCCCTTCGCTTTCAAACTTTGCGGCCCTGGACGGGAAACCAGAAAAAAAGGGGGGAGTGACGACCTTTTGACTCTGCGGTTGTTGTTGTTTTTTCGCGTTTTTAAGTTAGGCTTTGCGGTGCCTGCGTGGGCCGCATGAGAGTAGGACGCGTACGCCTTAGTGGGCGTGGGCGTCGCGACCCCGAGGTGTAACACCGGCAAAGCCAGGCAGCCGGTACCTGCCACGCTGCGAGGCAGCCACTGCGGGGGCGGCCGGGTGCGGTGCACTCTGAGTGAATCAGCGTCGTGGTCCCCGCACGATCCCCGCAGCACCCTCAGGCCCCCCGGCCCACTCGGGAAAAACGCCCTTCGAAACTGCCGAATGCACTGACTCCGGACGACCATAGCGTTCAATCTATACACTGGCTGATCGAACTCCCTCAGCGGGGTGGTGGTCTTTGGACATCCTCTGCTAGGCTATCTGTCTGATAAGCCAGATGGCTTGGAAGCAGTGTGCTGACGGGCACTTGTTGAAAGCGGCAAGAACTGTTTGGAATATCGACAAATTGTGAAAGTGTGGAATTTTATGCATTCACTGTGAAAGCAAACGTGGAAGCTCCACATGTTGAAATGCGGAGGAGTGGCGTTTTCAGTCTCCACACTTGGAAGTATGCAGAGTTTGCAGTTTCCACACTTCAAACGTGGATTTGTCATCGTTTGCACCATGCTAAGAGACAGGGGCCTTGTGAACTATTCCACACTTGAAGTGTGGAGACTGCATCCTATTCTTGCAACATCTTTCTGGCCCTGGCTGTGTGGCATTCCTCCTCGCTCCGCCCCCTTTTCAGAGTGTAGTGGAATAGCGGAGCAGTTCTCACCGGCCCCACCGTGGCTCCATTCCCTGGTGCGTCGCGTCGCGTCGCGTCGCGCATACCGACGGCAGCGCGGCAAAAAGTTAATTCAGCCCAACCGTGGCGGGGCGGCGCTGGGCGGGGCGGGGTGGGGCGCGGCGGGGCGGGGCGGGGCGGGGCGGGGCGGGCCGGGCCGGGTCGGGGCGGGCGTCGGTCCGTGGGAAAGAAGCCCCTCGCGACGCGGGCGCCTTTACAGAACTTATTGTGGAGAAAAATGAAATCAATGATGCGTTGACACGTGCGGAAGGGAGCGAATAAGGAGAGAGGCGAAAAAAAGGCGTGGAATAAAAGCGCGCTAAACCTTGTACGGCTAATAGAAAACAAGAAAAGTGGAAAAGGACAAGTCCCTGTCGCGGCTCACCCATTGTGGCGACAGCGTGGCGCAAGGGGAGATTAATGTCTCCGCAATTGTAACACTTTTGGCGTGCCATTGTGCCGCTTGCCGCCGCGCCCCGCCCCGCCCCGCCCCGCCACGCCCCACCCCGCCACGCCACGCCCCGCCCCGCCCCGCCCCGCCCCGCCACGCCACGCCCCGCCACGCAGAGCGGCCGTGTCCTTCAATTCTCCGTCAACACACTGAAGCCCCGAACCGAGAGGAGGTCCGACGGCTTTCTAAGGGGAGTGCGCGACAAAATGAGTTATTGAGCGAGTTCGCGCCCCGCCGCGCCGCGCTCCAACCCCGCCCCGCGACAATGCGGAAATTTGCGTGCGGCGTGCGCGGGCTTTACCCGTACCCTGATCCATGTCCGCCTCTTTCCTTTGTGGACAGCGCGACAAATGAGGCCCGTCGTGCTGCGTGCCGTGCGCCGCGCGTGCCGGTTTCGCTCGAAAATGATCCCCCGCGCGCTCAGTGGGCCAGAAGACCCGCGGAGGCGGTCACAATACCGGAAGCGTTTTGAGCTCCAGCGTCGCTGAATGGGACTCGAGCCGAACGTGTGACCCCACCGATGGATTGCTCTCCGAACGAGGAATCCATATACGCTCACTCCGAGTCCTGTGTTGCGACTCTGGAGTTTGAAAACGCGTCTGGCTGGAGTTTTGGCCGTCATCGCCGGCCCTCTGGCCCACTGTGCTGCGTGCCGTGCTGCTTGCCGTGCGTGCCGGTCTTGCTCGAAAATGATCCCCGCGCGCGGCCTGGCCGTGCCGTGCCCGGCCCAAATGGCGGCCCAAAGTACTTGAGCGTGATCGCGGGCTGGGGCGGCCATGACGCTCTCCAGGCGCTCGCAAAGCTTTATGCTTTTGTCGAGTTCAGGTTGAAGGAATCACCCACCTGAAAACACGATGTCATGCGAAGAAGCATTTGTCTTGCAAAAGAAAAAAGAAAGCGTGCTTAAGAGAGTCCCTCGAATCTCACCCTGTTTTTTTCTGTTTGTACTTTTCATTCTTGTTTTTGTTCTCCACTTCTTTTTCGACCGCCAACAAACAAAACAAAAACGCTTCGCATTTCAAAGACGAAATCCTTCTTGCTCGCCGACCGTCTTGCGCGCTTGCCCTGTGATTGTGGAACGCGCTCACTTGGCGAGGAATTTAACACTTGTTGATGAACTCCGTGAACCCCTCCCTCACCTGCCTCGCTGTGTGTGGGTGTGTGCGTGTGCGGCTTTGTGTTTTCCGTCCCACCTGCAGCCCGCCCCCGCGGCAGGCAAGGATGCTGTTAAAGGGAAGTGGAAGGGAAAGAGAGGGGGGGGGAGGAACTTCCCCGGGACGACGGCAAAGCTCCGGAAATCCCATATCTGAGATTGCCGTCCCACTGTCCCCCCAACAGCCCTCCTGGTCACTGGATGGAGTCCGGGTAGTTTATCAGAGGCAGTCGCGCGGTTTGTGTTTGTGTGTGTGTGTGTGTGTGTGTGTGTGTGTGTGTGTGTGTGTCTGTGTGTATTTGCGCCGGACGAGCAGCCGGTCTGTCTGGCCTAGGCGCCTCCTCTCCGTTGTGGTCGGTTGTGGTTGTGAGCGTGCCGCGGTGCCACAAGCATTGTTAGACTCATTTACGAAGTACAAAGGTCGCCATCAGTTTTGCCAAGTGTGCAGTTCGGCCCGGTTTTGGTATGATGCGATGCCATCCGCGGCGGCGGCGCGTGCACTGGGACTGGCACGTGGCTTCGAAAAAATCTAGTCGCGACGCCTCTTCATTCTGTTGTTGTTGTTTTTGTTGTTGTTCGGCGGGATGACGAAGTAATGACGTTGTTTCCTGCCCCCGCAGGCAAGGCCGTGCCGTTCGTGGAGCTGACGGTGGCGCACGCATCCGTGCTCACCATCCTGGCCATCAGCTTCGAGCGCTACTACGCCATCTGCGAGCCGCTCAAGGCGGGCTACGTGTGCACCAAGGAGCGGGCCCTACTCATCTGCTTCCTGGCGTGGGCCTTCGCCGCCGTCTTCACCAGGTGGGCCTCCAGCTTTTCGGGCTCTCTCTCTTTCACTTTTCAATGTGCGGCCTTGTGCGCGTGGGAGAAACGATAAACGGCCATTTTCTGCGGCCACCTTTCTTTTCCTTTTTTTGTTTGACTGCATTTTTGTGTGTGTGTGGTGGCAAAAAGCACATAGCAAATCTGCCTTTACTTTTATATGGTGCGGTGTTCTGAGTGAGAGTGTGTGAGTCCTTGAGTGGTTTAGTCTATATTGATTTACTTGTTGTGTGGGAAAACACCTTTTATCACTTTTTTTGATCAATGTGTTCATTTTGCTGCCAATCTTTTTGTCGTAGCGTGATGTTATGGGCAGAAAAATCACTGGTCTGCTCCACTTTGCTTTCGTCTCAATATTCTTTTATCATGTCAGTCGAATAAAATGCATTTTAAGGAGCTGCTGCAAAAGTGGAACAGCCAGTGGTTTTTCTGGGCGCAAGAAAAATGGCTTCTCGTTTTCCTTTCACTGCGAGCTGAACTATACAGTTATAAAACACATACTACTTGAGAAAACACATCAAGGATGGTGGTAATTCCTTACTATAATCTAAAATTCTACAGCAGTCAGTTTCTGCATTGTAGTTTCCTTCTCTTTCTTTTTCCTAAAATCTTGGCTCTAGAGCAACTCACTTCTATTTACTGTTGCACACACGTAACCAACCACCCCTCTACATTCTTCGAATGATGGCCTAGAGTCTCTTCTAACAAACCCACCTGTCGTTTTTGTCTGTCCAGGAAAAACTGTACTTCTGTTCTGTTCTTTTCTTACTCATTTCAACGCTCATTGCAATGCTCTGCTCTGCCCATTCAACGCCATCTCCTGTCAATGACATGTAGCGCTCCCTTAACCTAACATAATATTCACCACCAAATTCACAGCGTGGAAATCGATTTTCGGGCCAAAGCCAGAGGAAAAGGAGGTGGGGTTAAGTGTTTTGTTCTTTTTCTTTCGAAGTTTTTTTCGGTTAGGAAAGGAACTGTGCTGCAGGCATCTCACTGAAACATGTGTAAGTAACGTGATTATTAACGGCAAGTTAAAAATTTAATTACGAACTTGAATCAGTTCATCATAATGTAACATTTTCGAAGTGGTAAATAAACTGATGAGGATGCTGCACCCCAAACAGGAAAGTACCAACACAGGTGCAAAAAAAATTATACCTTCAGAAGTTAATCCCCAAGATTCATCCATTCGCTCGTACGTAAACCCAAGACGATCCATTTTGTACTGAAATTGTTTACAGCTAATATTACCTTAATAATCTTTTATCGCATGCCTTCATCTTAAAAGTCACCCTGACATAAATCACATAAAAACCAAATGCCTCTGGCATCTCTAAATGCGGAACTCAAAAAGCATCAAGTGTGGAGTACACAAACTAAGATAAAATGTCTCACCTAACGCGTTGTAACCGTACACATAAATGCTTCTTCATTCAGACATGGTTGATTTCTCATTGCTTGTCTGGCGCTGCATGTTCTTTTATCTTTTTGGAGCATGGAGGTTGGCGGCACTGGCCATAGCCGGCGGGGTGTGCACGTGTAGTGGTTTCGGAGCGTGAGATTGGCAGCCACTTTTGCATGGCACGGCTGTACTGCATGGCGTGGTCGTCACGACGTTCAGTGTGTCAAAGGTAGTGTGCTACTTTCCTCTTTTCCTATTAAACTAAGTTGTCTGTTTCTTGTCGTTTTTTCCTCTTCAAAATGTGTCCATTTTCATTGCCGGTACGAAAGACACATGACACTTTTTTTTGTTTGGCCTGGTGTCAGTTGTTATGTATAACACCTGTTGACATGACATTACGAGAAAGTGAATGTTGAAACCTTGGCTAATTCTGGCGGTGTTGCACGCAGCCCCGTCCTGCTCATCGCCGAGTACGGCTTCTACAACTTGAGCGAGGTGCCGAGCGTGGGGCCGGCCGCCGGCGGGGGGCTGCCCGTCACCCTGGCCAACGCCACCGTCGCCACCAGCGCGACCAGCGCGACCAGCGCGACCAGCGCGACCAGCGCCGCGGAGCCGGACGCCTACTGCCTGACGCGCGCCGACACCTTCTGGAACCAGTTCTTCTTCCTCATGACCATCTCCGTCTTCTTCATCCTGCCGCTGGTGCTGCTGCTGGTGCTGTACACGCTGATCGCGCGGCGCCTGGTGGCCGACCCCGGCACCACGGCCGTCAAGCCGTCCGCCACCACCGAGTCGTCGAACGGGCGCGCGCGCAAGCAGGTGGTGCTGATGCTGGGCACGGTGGTCATGTCCTTCTTCATCTGCCTGCTGCCCTTCCGCGTCTTCACCATCGTCATCATCTTCATGTCCACCGAGACCTTCTCCAAGATGGGCTTCGAGAACTACCTGATCGTCCTGTTCGTGTGCCGGATGATGCTGTACCTCAACTCGGCCATCAACCCCATCCTGTACAACCTCATGTCGTCCAAGTTCCGCGACGGCTTCATGCGGCTGTGCGGCGTGCGGCGCCGCGACGCCTTCTTCCGGCGCCGCTTCACGCGCAGCTCGACGCTCAACACGACCACGACGTCGATGACGTTCGCGGGCAGCCGGCGCTACCACCACGGCGTGATGCGCAGCTGCTCGGGGCTGTCGCTGGACTCGCGCACGCTCATCTTCGCCAACCACGCGTCGCCGCGCGGCTCGCCCTCCCCGCACGCGCCGCCCGCGCTGCCCGGCAGCGGCAACGGCGCGGCCAACGGCGCGCTCCGCAGGAACGTCATCATACGCGCGTCGCTGGGGCAGCGCGCGCTCGGCCAGGGCCTCGGCCTCGGCCACCTCGACAGGGCCTCCTTCCGCGAGCGCTACTCCGCCATCAACCTCTCCACGGACGACATCCGGCCCGAGAGCTACGTGTGAAGTTGCCTCCAGTATACGAAGGGACTGCGTTTTATTTATTTAAGTCGTTATTCGATGTGTCATTCCTGCTTTGCTAAGTGTGTAGTCGGTAGTTGTCGCTAGTAGCAGCGTGTGCGTGCACGAGAGAGAGAGAGAAAGAGTGTCGTGAGTCGGACGTCGCCCCGGTGGCGGCAAGCGGTGCAGGTTATTGGTCGTAGAGACATTGCACAGTTATTATTTCAGAACTTACGCCGTGTGGTGGCTTCAAGTTTGCGGGAAAATTGTGTTTCAGTCGACGGAGATTCTGTACTTGCAAGTCTGCCTGAAGCAAGATCGGCGCTGCTGTGTTAGTGCCGCGCACAGCTCGGTCGTGGCAGAGATCTCCACTTACTCGCGCTTGTTAGTGATTTGAAAAGCCATGAACTCTGTGATTGTAGATATGGCAACGTGGTTAAAAGTGTAGTTTGCATACTCGTTGAATTCTCGAATTAAATAAGTATTGTGTTGGTGATAATGTAATGCTTAATGTGTATCGCCGAGAAAACGTCGATTTTGGAACGTCAGTTGTGCTGCTCGCTACAAACAAAAAACTGTGAAAATCGCCTCCGACCCCTCCCCGATATTTCAGGAAAAAAAGAAAAATATACCAAATTAAAATATCAGGGAGTACTGGTATTACGTCGCCTGGCGTAAATATTCCTTTGCAAAAACAGAGCCAAGAAAACGTTTCAAGACGCAGGCGCCTGTGAAGTTGCGGATAGGCCAGCCCGCCAAACACCTGTGTCGTGGGGTGCAGCCTACCCCTCTGATTGCAGGCGCTTTTCGGCCTCCGGGCAACTCCGTTCAGTTTCAAACCACATTCAAACTGGTTTTTCACAGCAAAATGGTTAAAATTGCCGGGTCAAACTTTAAATACGATGACTTGTCATGCTCCGATGTTTTGTGCGATGTGGCTTTGTGACGCTGGCAGTGCTTGCGTCGGCCTGGACCTATACTCACTAGTCTTTTCATCTATTCAAAGAATAATTAAAGTTCCAGCTTAGGTTTTTGTTCCCTTCTAGATGGTAGTGTTCTCATTATAGAGTCCTATTAATATCGTAGTGTTGGCAAGCTTTTCGTTAGTAGCATCGTCGTCTGTACTATTTATATAATATAATCTCGTGTGAATTCTTCCACTATTTTGCTGAAGCGTCACAAAGATAACGAGTGCTTCAGTGAGGGTTTGCCTTGGTCCAGTCTGAGCCCCTGCTCAAGGCAAGCAGGTTACACTATTGTTATTTACTCAAGTAGCTTTCTATCTATGTGTGATGTTCACTTTTTTATGTAAGTAATGAATAAGGGTCCAGGTTCGAGCGTAGCTTTTCAAGACCCAGCCGTAACTGCTGCGTCTATGGCGAGCATTTTGAAGTTTTTTTGGTGTTTTGAAAACCCGTTGCTGGTTCCTGTTGAACCGATCGCCCGTTCTGGCCTGGGAGTGGACCGTCAGTTTTGAGTTCCAGAAAATCTGCATGCTGCAACTTTCAGAGATAAACCTAACAATTTCGGAATCGTATGTATCAAAGCGACAGTGAGCTAGAGGTTATGTGACATGTAATTTCGTAGTACGCTTTCATTTCACCTTATGTTCCATCGATAGCGAGTGTGTAAGAGAAATAAAGTATATTTTTGTGCTCGATCAGAATGATTTATTACCTTTGCTTGCGTTGGGTTCGTCGGCTTTGTGTGTCTGTGTGTGCCCCGTGGCGCATCTTGCCAGGAAACCTGAATCGGCTGTGTGACAAAAGAAGATCCTTCCGCTGGTATTTTGGACCCCCACCTCCTTTTCCATCAAATCCAATAAAAATGTAGGCCCGAAACATTGTCTGTGTGAGCGTGCGCGTGTGTGTGTGTGCGTGCCACGCGGGTGTCGCGTGCCTTGCTTCATGTGCCGTGCTGTTCCAGCCCAATCCTGGCCCTAGCCGAGTACCGCTACGAGGAGTACTGGGACGGCACGCTGGTGCCCGTGTGCGTGACGCCGGCAGACACCTTCTGGAAGGCGGCCTTCTTCGTGGGCACCATCTCGGTGTTCTTCGGCATCCCGCTGGTGCTGCTGGTGGCGCTGTACAGCGTCATCGCGCGCCACCTCATGGTGTACCCGGGCATCATGGCGTCGCACCAGCAGCAGAGCCACCAGCAGAACTCGCAGAGCCAGCCCACCACGCCCAGCGCCATCAAGTACCGCAAGCAGGTACGTACGCGCCGAGCTTATGCAGAGCGAGCTGTGTATCCAACCGGAGCACAGCGTGGCACTGTGGCATTGCGGCGTTAAAAGCCGCTCTGCATAACCTCGGCATCGGCCACTCGCCTTCTTGACGCGCGGAAGTGCTAAAATGGGCCGTGGTGTGTGTTGAGGTGGTGATGATGCTGGGCACGGTGGTGCTGTCCTTCTTCATCTGCCTGCTACCGTTCCGTGCCTTCACGCTGTGGATCATCGTGGTGCCGCCCGAGGACGTGATGGCGCTGGGCGCGGCCGGCTACTACAACCTGCTCTTCTTCTGCCGCATCATGCTGTACCTCAACTCGGCCGTCAACCCCATCCTGTACAACCTCATGTCGTCCAAGTTCCGGGACGGCTTCATGCGTCTGTGCGGCGTCAAGCACTGCAAGAAGAGCCTGCGCCGCAAGGGCACCTTCAACACGACCACGTCCACCACGACGTGCTCCAGCAGCCACAACAACAGGTAGGTCTGCTCGGACGGCCTGGACGGCGGCGGCGAGCGCAGCGCGCCCCTCCACTGCCTTGTTTGCGCCGCTCTCTGCCGGGAAATGATATTCAAATTTGCGGACCTGGCGCCGTCTGTCTGGCCAGCCGGGTCGTGTCGTCGTGGCCGTCCGGGACTGCCGGGGGCAGGCCAGCTCCCTGGCAGCTCCCTAATCCGTTTTGTTTATTTACCCGTGTTTGCAGGATGTCCCCCGAGGGCTTCTGGCGACGGAGTATCACCAGCGCGCGCGGGTCGCTGGGCGGCGACTCCCTGCGCGGCGTGCTGCAGAGGAAGGCCTCCACCACCTCGTCGGACTCCGCGAGCGGCCACGCCGACAGGTAGGCAGCCGTATGCAGCCCGACACACCCACAGTGGGCCTGCAAAACCGGCACCGGCGGACAGGCGCGTTTTGAGCTCAAAAGTAGTTAAACGATACTCGAACCAAACGTGAGACCCCACCAGTGGATTCCTCGTTCAGAGAGCAATCCATTGATGGGGTCAGGTCACACGTTCGGTCCGAGTCCCGTTTAGCGACTCTGGAGCTCAAAACGCGTCCGGGATTCCGACCGCCTTGAACGGTCTTCTGGCCCACTGTGCTGCTCCGGCCTCGCTCACGGCGTTTCAGTAGGAGAAACTAAACCTTGCGCCTTTTGCGTCCAGGGTGCCGCCACACCTGACCCACGGCGTCGCCGTCGTGCGCCGCATGGACTCCGACCCGAGGCTGCCCGTCAACGGCGGCTCAGTGCACCGGCCGCTCATGGAAGACGTGCTCGAGGACGTCCTCGAAGACGTGCTGGAGGTGCAGCGCAGGCTGCGCTGCATCGGCGGCCTCGACGAAAGTTTTGTGTGAAGTCGGGCGCACGTGTTGTGCTCGAGTGTGCGTCTAGAACATTTTATGAGAACGCTTTGACGAAGGCGGCGTTACTGTGAACGTGTGTGACATTTTGATGTGTAGCAAAATTGTGAACGTTCTAGCTCAAGAAATTCGTACGATTAAGTGCATAAAGGACAGATTACGCTGCGAACACTCTATATCCCAGTGTGCTGTGTGCTCAAAGAGATTGTCTGCGAGCGTCTGAAGCACTGCAGCTATGATTCCGAAAGAATGCACTGTATGAACTTGAGTGTACTTCGCCGGACGGTAAACATGGTACAAGCATGAGTACCCTGTTTTGGGGAAGGGATGAAAAGTCATTGTGGCTAGACAATTCTTGCTGCTTGAGGGTACTACACCTCTGCAAGAATATGTATTGGAAATGGAAGACTGAACCGTTCGGACTGAGAAGGAGTGTTTCACAACCCTAGGTGGTTCTATGCCCTTTAGGAACCTAAGTTCGCCGCCACCTCCCTGTAGTTACACGCATTTGTGACAACCGTAACGAGAAAAATGATCTAAGTGTAAGTTAAACGGTGCGTTTAGTTTGGGTGGCGCAACGTCTGTTGTAAAATAAAAAAGGCAGTCCTATAAATTGATTTTGTATGAATACGTGCGCCCCCTCGTAACGCCGTTTCCTTGACGTCTATTCCCACCTTTTGCAAGGGAATTTAAGGTTTCGGAGTGAGTTTCCTTTCTCATGTTTAACCATAAGTTGCCAAAAGTGGAAAACGGAGCTTGTACAGGCTGAGCGCCAAAATGTAACCAACTTTCCCGAAAGCTTCTCTGCTTTTATGTTCAGTCGATTTCAACGTGTACTAATCAAATAACGGGTATATTAATGTAATGTTTTTATTAGTTCTGTGTGAGTGTCACCGTTTTGATCTCTTCCTCAATGAGGACAGCTACGATCTGCCGTATTCCTATCGATAGTCAGTGGCCGGCGGCATTCGTTCGGTTATTTTGCATTTCAATGTTTTCAAATGTGTTGGTGAACACCTCATCTTTCAAAAATTCACCACTTAATTAATCTGATTATGAGGAGCATGAGAGTCTCTTTTGTATATTTTCTTTATTATCCTCCTCGATGGGAAGTTATTTGCTTCCTTCGCGGGAAGCTACTAGTCTGTTTTTTTTTAATCTTAATTTTAGTGTGACTGCTACACAAAGCACGTTCTGTAATTCAAGTATTCTGTTTGGAATTCCTCCAGAAATGCATTTTATTAGTGCAATAGGCTAAGTTATTTTATACAGACGTTTCAATGTCCTACCGTAAATTTTTATACTGCCCGAATCAAGTCAAACTATTTATTAACGTAGTGCCAACCTCTCGCGTCTCTAGAGACTGCGACACCTGAGTGTTTTCGTACAAATGTGTTGGTTAAATTTTTTCGTACCTCTAACCGCAATAAACATTATTTATTGTCCACTCGTGTTGTTGTTCTTGTTGTTCTTGTCCTTCTTTCGTACTCCAAGGGCGGGTCCAGAGACGGGTCGAGGGAGAAGGGGAGTGGGGGAGGGGGTATGTCGCAAAAGTTGCCTACCACCAAAACGCCGGGGGGACTTGTTGCCTACTTTTCAGGCGGCTTGGCCGCGTGCAGACCATACAGCGGCCGCCGCGCCGTCGAGGCGGGCAACCCAACGGCCGCGTCGCTGCTGCTGCCTCCAAGCCGAGATGCAGGCCGACAAGTGCATGAGGCGGGACGAAGGGAGGCCGATGCGGGCGCGGGGCGGGGCAGGGCGGGGCAGGGTGGGGCGCCAGGGTCAACGGGGTTATCGGCGAGACAGTTCGGGGCCTTGTTCCTCCCGCCGGCCAGCCCAGTTTCTTCCCAAAGCCGAAGCAGGCAGCAGGCCGCGGCGTCCGCCAGGACCCCGTCCCGTCCCGACGTCGAGGTTTCACAACATTTCGGGGGAATCAGCATCGCGGGGTAAGCAGGCGCGTGTTGGCGGCGTCACGGCCCCGCCGGAGCGGCGCCCGGCCCGGCACGGCCCAGCGCGGCGCGAAGGTCCTCGACGGGGTCACCGTCAACGCGTCAGCGTCTCGCAACCACGCGCCGCTCTCAATTTCGCAATGGGGGACGTCTGCGTAAATATTGGACCACCGAGGCGTGTTTCGTTTTGAAAACTCGATTTTGCGGGGCGAGTTTCGTTCCTGTGAGCGGCGCGGGGCCCGCCGCGGTTTTCCCCGAACTGCTTTCGGTGACGTACTTTTTTCGATTCTCCGTACGCGAGCGAACACATCGCGCGCGGGGGAGGGAAAAATGGCCGCCGGAATTGGCGGGATATGGCGCCGCAGCGCAGCGCGCGGGCTTGCCATGTGTTCTACATTCGTTCGCGTTCGCGCGCCCAAAGTCGCTAATGGCGGTGCCGGCGAAGCACGGCCTCAAAGGGCCGAGGCGAGGGCTGTGCGGCGGAGGGCTAAGGGCTGCCATGCGAGAGGGAATCCAAACGGGAAATGGGCCAAAGCACCACAGCGCACTAGCAGTGCCGCCACCGGCCGCCACTGACACTGCTGTACGCAGTGTACGCACGCGCCCCGCGCCGAGTGATAACAGAGCGGCCGCCTTTAAATGATTGACAGGGACGACTGCTTGATCGATGGCCAGCCCTTTCGGCCCTCCGGCCTGCGGGACCACAGCGCCCACTGCACAGTGGGCCAGAAGACCGGTGGAGGCGGCCAAACGTCTAGACGCGTTTTGAGCTCCAGAGTCACTAAATTGGACTCGAACCGAACGTGTGACCCCACCAATGGATTGCTCTCCGAAGGAGAATTCCATTGGTTGGGTCACACGTTCGGTTCGAGACCTGTTTAGCGACTCTGGAGCTCAAAACGCGTCTAGACGTTTGGCCGCCGGCGCCGGTCTTCTGGCCCACTGTGCGGCGCGCTGCTGTTCTGCCTCTCCCGAAGGGTTACTGAATCCCAATTCATCGCCTCGCCGCGGAGTCCCGGCCGGCTGCCCGTCCGTGCCGGCAGTCTCGGGGAGGGAGAGGGAGAGGGAATTTCAAGGCCAGGGGAAGATAGATATGCGGCGGCGCGGCCTCCGCAGGACAGTGGTGGATTCGTAAACAAATACAGGGCCTGTTTGAACGTTCCCGCCGCCATGCGTTAGGCGCGCTGCGTTAGGCTCGCGGGCCTTCAAACGTCGCTTAGACCGGCGTCGCGGCCTCGCCGCCCACGCCGCCCACGCCGCCCACGCCTACCCGCGCGTGGTGCCGCCGCCCCGGTCCCGGTGATCCCCCGCCGGAGTGGCTGCAGAGCGGTGCCGTGTTTCTGTCCCGCAGGGGCTTTGTCTTGCATGCATACTCAGTTTCCACTTATCCGCGGGAAATAACGCAGAGCAGCGGATCCGTCTCCCCCCTCCCCTCCCCTCCCCCTTCCCCCTGCCCGCGCGAGGCCCCGGGGGTGAAGGGCCGTCCGCACAGCCCCAGCAACGACAGGCCGCGACAGCCTTGGCTGCACACTGAGAGTCGACTTCGTCGCTCTGTCTCCCTCGCACTCATGCGCGCCCCGCGTAGACAGAGCGACGAAAACGACCCTCGGAATCAGTCTGCTGCCTAGGGCGGCGGAAATGCCGGCACTACACATTTCCGACGCTTCCTTACGAGTGTACCCACTGGGCGGACGGGACGCGGACGGGCGGACTGGGGCGCCGGGAAGGTCACTCACTCTCGGCAGGCTTTCAGCTTTCAGGGGAGCATCCCGTCGGACATGTGGGTGGGCAACAGAACGGCGCCGCTAGCCTCCGGGGCAGCAGCAGATGATGCTTGTTCCAGTACCCGTGGGGAGGAGGAAAAGAAATACATTATTCCTCTGAACGCGGGAATGACAAATCATTCAAAAGTTTTCAAAGGAAAAGAACGCGAAGGTGTATACCTTGTGTGAGCAAATAGAGTCACCACCGTAAAGAGCGACCGATGACTAAAATTTAAAATCAATTATATTTCCCCAGCTAGCCTTCAGGAATTTACTGAAACACTGGGATTTGAACTCGGATCCTTCATAGTCGGAGACCGACGCCTCGACGCTCTCGGCTATCACAGCCCATGCTTTACCTGTGATCCGGAACCCCTGCTGGCATACGCCCGGTGTGAATCGAGCCTGTCGTCAAACATGCCTTGTTGGTGTCCAGGATGAGGGCCTCCACGGGGTCCGTGTTGTGCGTGCTGCTGGCGCTGGCGGCGCAGGCGCGCGCCCAGTGCGCCATGGAGCCCCCCTCGGGCGCCACCAACTCGCTGCGCTCCCCTGGCGACGGCGGCTTCGGCCTGCTCATCTCCGGGGACCCGGAGCGCTACGTCCCCGGGTCCGTGTACACGCGTGAGTATCGAGGGACCGCCCGGGCCCGGCAGCGTTCACGCTGATTTCGAGCGTCGTTTCCGTCGCTCTGTCCCCTTCGCACTCAAGGGGTGCGGGAGAGACAGAGTGACGGAACGGGAAATGGCCCTGCGGCAGCCTGATCGCCACCCTCACGGCCTTGTTCACCTCCAGTGTCGCTGACGGCGCCCCCCGGCAAGACGTTCCGCCGCTTCCTGGTGACGGTGGAGCCCGCCGACGCGGCCGCGCGGCGCTGGGCCGGCAGCTTCCAGCTGTTCGGCGACGCGGCGGCGCAGTTCGCCCCCGCCTGCATCAACGCCGTGAGCGAGGGCGACACGCCCAGCCCCGCACCGCAGGTCGAGGTGCAGACCATGTGGAGGGCGCCCACCCAGGGCTCCGGCTGCGTCCGCTTCAAGTAGGCCTCCGCGACAAGGCGACTGGCGAGCGGGTTGCGGAACGGTTGCGGTGCGACCGTTACCGCCGCCCGCAGAGTCGAGCATCGGCAACCCGCTCCCCTTCGTGTGTTTCCGTGGCTGGGCCGGACCGCCGGACTTGACGGGGTGCTTGGGTGCCGCAGGGCCATGGTCCAGGAGGACGACGCCCTGTGGTTCGCGGACGAGGGCGCGCTGAGCCGCACGCTGTGCGAGCTGGTCATGACCCACGCCCACGAGGACGTCAACGTCGACGAGCCCCGGGAGTGCTGCGCCTGCGACGACGCCAAGTACAAGGTATTCGTGGTCGGCTGTTGCACCGTGGGCCAGAAGATCGGTGAAGGCAGCCGAGCCGAAACTCTAGACTGACGCGTTTTGAGCTCCAGAGTCGCTAAATGGGACTCGAGCCGAACGTGTAACCCCACCAATGAATTGCTCTCCGAACGAGGAATCGATTGGTGGGGTCACACGTTCGGTTCGAGTCCCATTTAGCGACTCTGGAGCTCAAAAGGCACCTAGAATTTCGGCCGCCGGCGCGCCGGTATTCTGGCCCACTGTGCGATGCCCTGTCCGTCAGCGCCATGGGTGCAGCGCTTCTGAACGCGCTCTTCGCCGCCAGTTCGTGTTCCAGGGCATCTGGTCCAACACGACGCACCCCAAGGACTTCCCCTTCTCGCTCTGGCTCACGCACTTCAGCGACGTGATCGGCGCGTCGCACGAGGCCAACTTCTCGTTCTGGGGCGAGGGCCAAATCGCGTCCGACGGCTTCCGACAGCTGGCCGAGTGGGGCTCCGTGGGGTGGCTGGAGCGCGAGCTGCGCGCCAAGGTACGTCGGCGACGTGCGGGGGCTGCACACTGGGAGTCGTTTTCGTCGCTCCGTCTCTCTCGCACCCATACGGGATGCCGCATGCGTGCGAGAGGGACGGAGCGTCGACAACGACCCTCGGAATCAGTGCGCCAGCCGCCAAGCGGCTGCCAAACTCGCATTTTCATTTTAAAAGAATAAATTGTCGACGCGCTCTCCTCGCAGTCGAGGCACCTCCGCACCCTGGTCAAGGCCCCCGGCCTGTGGTACCCACGCGTGACGCAGAACACGAGCGCCACCTTCAACGTGGACCGCCGCCACCACCTGGTCTCCCTCGCCTCCATGTTCGGTGAGCTGCAGCACGCCGTGCCACGCCACGCGCGCACACTCATTTCGAGAGTCGTTGTCGTCGCTCTGTCTCTCTCGCTCCTATACGGTGCGCCCCATGAGGGCGAGGGAGACAGAGCGACGAAAACGACTCTCTGGATCAGTCTGCAGCACAGCACAGTACAGCGCCCCCGGAGAGAGGCTAAGCCCACCATAACGACGCGCCGATCCCGCGCGTGCGGCCCGGAGGCTGCCTCCGAACACGTCGCTCTGTCTCCCTCGCTCTCGCGGGGCGTCCCCTAGGGGTGCGAGAGAGACGGCGGGGCCAGCACCGCGTCGTGAAGGTCAAACCGCACGCGCACGCGTTGTGTGGATTCGGGCGGAATGCTTCCGTGGCGCTGCCCCGCGCGCTGCCCCCCAATGCCGTCATCAGTCATCATGCAGATCGTGCATGCCGCACGCCGCGCCCGATCGCTATGCCTGGCTGTGCCGCGCGGATCGGACGCACATTGTCACCCGCTTTTACTTTCATGTCGGCCGGGCGGACGGACGGACACGCAGACAGACACACAGACAGACAGACACAGAGACAGATACAGACAGACAGACAGACAGACAGACAGACAGACAGACAGACAGACAGACAGACAGACAGACAGACAGACAGACAGACAGACAGACAGACAGACAGACAGACAGACAGACAGACGGACGGACGGACGGACGGACGGACGGACGGACGGAGCGACAGACAGACAGACAGACAGACAGACAGACAGACAGACAGACAGACAGACAGACAGACAGACAGACAGACAGCACTGTCATGGGGGCCGGCCGCCATGAGGCGACTGACTGCAGTAATCCAGACGCCAATTCGGCCGCCCGAAAATGTAATCTAGGAGGCCCCCGTCCCCGTCTCGCTCTTAATGGTGATAAATTACATTAGAAAGGAGTGGGAAACTTTGCTTCGCGCGTCTTCGTCTCCGAGTCTTCTCTCCGACGCCGAGGCCCTTTTGGCGTCGGCCTCGCCCAGCCTCGTCCGTCCCCAGCCCTTAGCAGTGTCGGAGACTGTCTCGCTCTGTCTCGGGCGACACTCTGGAGGGATGCCGGCTGAATGACAACAACGGCCGTCGGCTAGTTAGTTCGTTTCCAATGCCGATACAGCAGCCGCCTGACCTTGGCTCGGCCGAATGGGATTCATTAAGATGAGAGCGTCGCAGGGTGATTTGCAGCAAATGACGGAATTTCGCTTTTTATTGAATGCTTCCAGGCCCGTCTCCGGACTGGGTGGTGGGCGTGTCGGGCCTGGACCTGTGCCTCGCGGACTGCTCCTGGGTGGAGGACAAGGTCATCGACTTGTACCCCATCGACGCGGGCACGGACAGCGGCATCACGTACATGGTGAGCGTGGCGCCTCGCGGTGGGCCAGAAGACCGGTGGAAGCGGCCGAAATTCTAGACGCGTTTTGAGCTCCAGAGTCGCTAAATTGGATTCGAGCCCAACGTGTGACCCCACCAGTGGCTTGCTCTCCGAAGGAGAAATCCATTGGTGGGGTCACACGCTCGGTTCGAGTCCCATTTAGCGACTTTGGAGCTCAAAACGCGTCGAGAATTTCGGCCGCCCTCCACCGGTCTTCTGGCCCACTGTGCGCCATTTCCTGCAAAATGCACCCAACAGAAGTCGAAAGCGGTTTGTGCTTGTCCAGTCTCCGAACGCGCCCACGGTGCCGCGCGAGGAGATGTACCGCATCACCTCCATGTACCCCGAGGACCCCCGCGCGCCCTTCTACGACCCGCACGGCGCCGACATGCAGCCCCTGGCGCGCCTGCACATCTCCAGGACGGCGGTGACGCGCAAGCCCTGCAAGGAGGACGACGACGCCAGCCAGGAGCTGGACAAGGAGTCCGTCTTCGAGGACATCGAGACCGTGGACGACGGCGAGAAACGTATGTGTTGTTGTTGGCCTCGCCTCGTGTGCATGTGCGGATCCAGAGACGGCTTCAGGGGGGGTTTACCGGAAGTTGCCTGCTGACTGGTGCAAAGTGCAACTTTTTGCGTACCTATCAGTCGGCTTCGCCGCACAGTGGGCCAGATTAGCGGTGGATTCGGCACAAACTCTACATGCGTTTTGAGTTCCAGAGTCGCTGAACAAGACTCGAACCGGACGTGTGACCCCACCAATGGAGTCGTCGTTCGGAGAGCAATCCATTGGTGGGGTCACACGTTCGATTCGAGTATCATTTAGCGACTCTGGAACTCAAAACGTGAGTAGAATTTCGGCCACCTCCGCCGGTCTTCTGGCCCACTGCGCGCCGCCCCTGCCCGTGCGGCCCGTGTGCGATGAGAGGCGGGTGTGTGAGTGCCTTGGTGCCGCAGCCGAGTGCCGCGTGGACGAGTGGACGCCGTGGTCGCCGTGCTCCGTGTCGTGCGGCAAGGGGCTGCGCATGCGGCAGCGCAACTACCAGATGGACGCCAAGGCGCAGATGTTCGGCTGCGACCGCCAGCTCGTGCAGAAGGAGATGTGCGTGGCGCACGACGCGTCCTGCCCGTGAGTACCCCCGCCCCGGCTAGAGCTGCCTCTCTCGCACCCCCGGCGCCACGCCACCCCCTGGAGTGCGAGAGAGAGACAGACAGAGGAATCGAGCTGGCCGCACGCACTAATCCGTGCCGGAAAAGAGATTACCCCGGCGCTCGGCGCGGCCCCAGGAGTGCGTTTGAATGATGCGGGGCGCAGGGCGCGCCGGTGCACTGGCAGGCCGGTCCATTCCCGCCTCGTTGTTGATGTGCTACAGCGGCGACCCGGTGGAGCTGGACCCTAACGAGGTGGGCACGCCCTCCGAGGTGGAGAACATCAACTGCGCCGTCACGCCGTGGGGCCCGTGGTCCGAGTGCTCGTCCTCGTGCGGGCCCGGCTTCGAGGTGCGCTCGCGCCGCTTCGAGGACCGCGCCGGCATCAAGAAGTGCCCCTTCGTGGAGCTGACCGAACGCCGCAAGTGCTCGCTGCCCGCCTGCGTGGACACAGTGCCGGTGAGTGGCAAGTCAAGGTGGCGCCGCACAGTGCCAAAATTTTGGACGCGTTTTGAGCTCCAGAGTCGCTAAATCGGTTTCGAACCGGACGTGTGACCCCACTAATGGATTGCTCTCCGAACGAGGAATCTATCGGTGGGTCACACGTTAGGTTCGAGTCCCATTTAGCGACTCCGGAGCTCAAAACCCGTCGGCCCTGCCTCTTTGGGCCCACTGTGCGCCGTCGCGGAGTGCATTGGGTTGCCTACCCTGGCGTCCGCGGGCGCGCCATTGGCCTGCGCGTGGACTTTGCCGCTGACGGCGACGGCGTGTTGCAGGTGGACCCGAGCTGCCGCCTGACGGAGTGGTCGGACTGGTCGCCCTGCTCCGTGTCCTGCGGCGCGGGCCGCAAGTTCCGCAGCAGGCTGGTGCTGGTGGCCGACGAGGTGGCGCGCGAGCGCTGCGCCCGCTACCACAAGCTGAGCGAGGAGCGGCCCTGCTCCATCAAGGAGTCCTGCATCACGTCCACCGCCGACGCCGAGGGTACGTTTCTGCTGCAGACTGATTCCGAGAGTCGTTTTCGTCGCTCTGTCTCTCTCGCACTCATGAGGCGTCCCTTATGGGTGCGAGAGGGACAGAGCGACGACTCTCGGAATCAATCTGCTGGCTCGGGCCCAGCGCCCAGCACCGCCTGTGCGGCAGGCTCCCCTCAGCGCGCGCTCGCTCGATGGGTTGCCTGCACTGCAGGCGCTGCCACCGCTCTACGCGCGTGGGAGCCCCGTGCTTCAAGGGTCTCCGTTTAGCCCAGCCCGAGTAACTCGCGACTGTTGTTCGTGCCAACTACCTGGGCCGCCATCGGTCTCCGGACCCACGATCGTTACTCGCCAGGAAAGTTGGCTCTGTAAATGGCATATAACCCACGAAAACTGCTAGGTTTCTTATGTGCGTGGAAAAGATAAAATCGAGTAGTGCAACTTATCAAAAGTTTGCTGAAGTTCGCTTTGGGCTCATTGAACAGCAAGCCGTCGTCGGTGGACTGACGGACGACGGGAGTCGTTTCTGCCGCTCAGTCTCTCTCGCACCTTTGCGGAGTGCCTCATGAGTGCGAGAGAGACAGGGCGACGAGAGGGACGCTCAGTATCGCTCTGCATAGGTAGGAAATGGCTCAGTGTCGTCTGTCTCTCTGTCCGCAGAAGCGTGCCTGCAGCCCGAGGAGTCCGGCCCCTGCCGCGCCTACTTCGAGCGCTGGTACTTCGACCGCGCGGCCCGCCAGTGCCGGCCCTTCGGCTACGGGGGCTGCCGCGGCAACCGCAACAACTTCCACTCCCTCACCGAGTGCAACACCATCTGCGCCAGCGTGCGGGGTGAGAGTGCGGCCCCACCACCGCCGCCAAATCAAATTCACACGGCTGTCTCTCATCGCCGGTCCCTACATCCCTCTCTATGTCTCTCTCCCTCTCACAGAGAAGCTGGCCCGCGGCGTGCCCCTGGCGGCCCGCCTCAGCGCCCCCGCGCCCGCCGCCCCGGCCGTCTCGACGCAGGCCGCGCAGGCCGAGGCCGTGTCCGCGCTGGGCCCGCGCGTCGACTGCGTGGTGTCCGAGTGGGGCGAGTGGTCGCCCTGCACCGCCACGTGCGGCCTCGGCTACCGCGAGCGCCACCGGAGAGTGCTGGTGCGTACTCGGGGAGCAGATGGTGCAATGAACATACTCAAAAAACAAAGTAGTAATATCGTGTTGATAATGTGTCAGCGTCGGGAAGCGCCTTGCAAGTAAGTCAGAAAAATATCCGTTGGCTCAATTCCGCGCGCGCTGGGCTCGGCGGCCGCTTGTTTTAATCAGTCTTGCCAACACGATGCACCAGAGTTTGAAAGGGTTGGCCACTCAGCCTGCACTCCGGGCAAACTTCTCGAGAGCGAAGCCCACAGCCCAGATATTGCATAGCAGGCGGGTTGAGGGCGGCAACCCTTTCGGAGCGATGTGCGATGTGGTAATTTTTGCCCACTCATGTGGCAACACTGCGAGCGCAATTCTGGCTCCGCCGCGTTGTTCCGGCTCAACAGGTTGCACCCCTCTTGCGTTGCAAGGCAGCAAGCGGCAGAGGGTTGTGGAGACTCGGCTTGACAATGAGAAATGCTGAAAAGGGAACGCGTGTCGTTGTTGCAGGTGGAGCCAATCAGAGGCGGCCGCGTGTGTCCGAACCGCCTCCGCGGCCGCAAGAAGTGCTACGGAGGTCCTTGCGGTAGGTTTTTTTCTCGATGGTCCTTGGGACGAACCAAGAAATGGCTGTATCGTTCGAACCGAAAAACTGAAACTCACTTCCGTCTCTGTCATTTGCAGATCCTTTCCAAGCCGCTCTGAGCGCCGAAGACAACCTGTGACGAGGAGCACAGAGGAGCGAAATGAAAAGAAAAAGTGTAAAAAGTGTGATATAGACAGCTCTTTTATATACCAAAAAATCGTCTTTATTCGTTAACGTGTACAATAAAATTTTTAAAAAATCATACCGCCAGCTTTTTGTTCACTCTAATCCCTGACAGCGACTGATTTGAATAATGGGGGGGAATCGCTCGCTGGGATGGCTCGGTCGGTGCGGAGACGCCGGGAGACGCACGTGCGGGAGCGGCAGGCTTGTTCCGCGCGTCGCTCTGTCTCTCTCGCACTCGCGGGGCCTCCCGGGCAGGTGCGAGAGAGACAGAGGCCTGTGCGGAATCGGGCTGCTGGGAGCTCGTAGCGCCGGAGTTATTATGACGTGCAGGCGGCGTAGTGCAGCGGATCACGACCAAGCGAACGGTTTACTTTGTAAGCGTCCCTCTCGCTCTTTCTCTGGCCTCGTCGATGCCGTGCCAATCATCGAAGTGCCGACGCACAGTGGGCCAGAAGACCGGTGGAGGCGGTCAAAACTCTGGACGCGTTTTGAGCTCCAGAGTCGCTAAACAAGTCTCGAACCGAACGTGTGACCCCACCAATGGATCCCTCGTTCGGAGAGCAATCCATTGGTGGGGTCACACGTTCGGTTCGAGCCCCATTTAGCGACTCTGGAGCTCAAAACGCGTCTGGAGTTTTGGCCGCCTCCATCGGTCTTCTGGCCCACTGTGCAACGGTCGGTCCCCGGCAGCGGCCGGCAGCGGCGCGATGCGAGTGGCGAGTGTGGTGGCGAGTCTCGCGGCCGACCGATCCGTCATCCGTGACGGCGAAAGAAATAGATATGTCAATACTCCACGCACAGCACACAAAAGAGTCCAGCCTTTCAACGAGATCTCTCTTTCACGCCATCTGTGGAGGGGTAGTTTTTCATTCGGATGGCACTGCTTACACTTCGCGGGAGTCTTGCCTAGCCTACACATCCCCGAGTGGGAAACGGTCAGTACGGGAGTGAAAAAAGAAAAGAACCAAATCGGCGCCGAGCGGAAACACAGTAAGGTGTGCAGTCACCCATCATCATGAAGAAGCACTCACGAAGCCACAGAGCATATGTCTGGAAAACCGTCTGAAGTTCGACAGTGTAGTCGATCGGCTCCTTGCGCAACATGCATATTCACTTAGACGTCTCGGCTGCGTCGTTTCACGCGCCTAACGGCAATAATATCGAGGAAAAAGTGTGCAGTTTGTAGAATGGAAATGGCTCGCTACGGCACGGGTTGCTACTCACTGCGAGACTCACTGCTTCAGGCGTTGGGGCGGGCGGTGCGTTTCCAGCCGGATTTGCCCAGTTTGCCGCGTCTTTTCGTCTAACTTGCACCATTCGGGGGAAAGAAGACTGGGTTCCAGAGGCATGTCCCGCAGGATTCCAGCATGATGTATTATGTATTTTCCCAAATGTTCACCTCGGTATTCACAACAGTATTCGGACTTTGGGCCAAGTCAGCTCGCTGATGCGACTGACAGGGTGTCAGTTGGTGATACTGCTGAGCGGCCGCGGCAGCAGTGGCTGCTCCACTGGCGGAGCTACTGCTGCACCGGGAGCACCGCTTTGCCGTCAGTCGGCGTCCGCCGCCTGCCCAGCCGACTGGCGGCTTAGTCGCTTAGTCAGTCGAATTGGTCCAAAGTCTGAACACTGATTTCAAAACCCACCCCACGCAGCCCAGCCCCGGTCGACCGGACCCGTCCGTCCGTTCGGGGTCCGTTTTGGAAATGGCTCGGTGGCCAGGCACCACCGCGAGGGTCTCTCTGCCCGGCGACGTCCAGAAGAGCGAAGGCGCGCGGCGCGCGGCGCTCAGCTGCCGGACGACCGCCGCGACGCCCTGGACTTGGGCGACGAGTTGGAGTCCGAGTCGTGGCCGCGGTTGGGCTTGACGCGGAAGTTGCGGTACACCATCCAGAAGCAGCACAGGAACACGATGAGCATGACGGCGCCCGCGCCCGCCAGCATGTACACCATCTGCCAGAAGTCGGCGTCGCCGCCGCCCCAGCCGCCGCCCTCCGAGGACCCGCCCAGGATCCACGACCAGTCCATGTCGCCGCCGGACGACTGCGATGGCAGAGAATTCGTTGTCAGACTGGCGGGGGATGGGCGGGGCACAGTGGGCCAGAAGACCGGTGGAGGCGGCCAAAACTCTAGATGCGTTTTGAGCTCCAGAGTCGCGGGACTCGAACCGGCCGTGTGACCCCACCAATGGATTCCTCGTCCGGAGAGCAATCCATTGGTGGGGTCACACGTTCGGTTGGAGTCCCATTTAGCGACTCTGGAGCTCAAAACGCGTTCAGAGTTTTGGCCGCCGCCGCCGGTCTTCTGGCCCACTGTGCGGGGAAATGGTTGTTTCGCTGGCGGTCCCCGACTCACCGACTTGGGAGCGGGCGTGGTTCGCGGGTGCCTGTCTAGCGCCCTGTTGGACTTGGTCTTGCTGGGCGGCCGCTGCGGCGACGCGGTGGTGGCGGCGGTGGACACCGAGGACGACCCGGCGCCCGTCGCGGAGCCCCCGGGGCCGCCGCCGGCCGGGGCGCCGCCGCAGTCGTCGTCCACGCCGGGCCGCAGCGGGGGGAAGGCGAAGCGCGTCGAGTCGAGTTGCAGGTCCCGGCCGCCGACGAGCAGGCCCGCCTGGAAAACAAAACAATTCAACGGAAAAAAAATTTCCGCCGCTCCGGGGAATTGAACCCGCCCTCGCCGCGCCACCCACCTTCTCGAAGTACTCCGCGTCGCTGCGCTTGACCAGCACGCGCGCCGCGGTGCGCAGGTCCATGCCGAAGCGCAGCTTGGCGGGCACCGCCGCCGCCACGGCCACCGCCCTGCCGCCCGTCGTGGCCGCGTCCGAGAAGGCCGTCACCCTCTCCAGGATGGAGCGCCACTCGTCCGGCGCCATGCCGTGCAGCGACGGGCAGAAGAGGGCGGGCGGCGTCGGCGCCGGCCCGGAGTCCCCGTTGACGGGCGGCGCGCCGGCCGCGGGCGTGGGGCACTTGATGCGGTGCGCCGCCCTGAGCGCCGTGCCCATGAGCTGCACGCCCACCGACAGCGCCCCCACCGAGGCGTCCTGGCCGTCGGGCTGCAGGCCGGCCTGCTCCTGGAGGACAGAGTCGCGGTAGGAAAATAATTACTAGCATTTGGACTGGTATTTCCTGCTCTACGCCGTCCTGCTGAGGCAGGCTGGGGCTCACCATGACGTCGGGCTCCCCCTGGTGGTCGTTGGCCAGCGCCTGCCACAGCGGGGAGTCGGACAGCAGGGCGCGCTGCGTCCCCGGCACCAGGGCGGCGGGGCTGTGGCATGAGCAGCACGTCAGAGGACGTTGGGAGGACGTTGAGAGGACCTTTGGAGGACGTTTGGGAGGGTGTAGGAGGGAGGGTGTTAGGAGTACATTGGGAGGACGTCATGAAGACCTTTGGAGGACCTTTAAAGGGCGTTAGGAGGACTTTGGGGGGACTTTAGGAGGGCGTTAGGAGGACGTTAGGATTCCGAGGATGTTAATAAGAAGGCTGGGTGCCCTCGGCGACACGCGACCAAGACTCCGTACTTTCCTGCCTTGGCGTTCTGGGTACAGAGAGCTATCGCCGATTCCTGTACTCACCTGACCTCGTGCAGCATGGTGATGGCCACGCCCTTGAGCCGGTTGAGCAGCCTGGCGGGGGCCGTGGCCGCGGGCGCCGTGCCCGCCCCCGCCTCCGCCTGCCGCACGGCCAGCAGCACGTGCACCTCGCCGGCGGGGCCCGTCCGCGGCAGCGAGGACAGCCTGTCCAGCAGCGCGGCGGCGCGCTCCACCGACTCCACCAGCACCACCACGCCGCCGCTGCTGTCTGCGGGGCAACGCCAAGAACACGCTATCACGTTGGAAACCCTCGCACGGGGCAAGGAAGACTACTACTTTGTTGTTGTAATCGACTTCGCTCGATAGGCTGAATTCGATACCTGCACTCGAAAATCCGGCACGTACCTACAAGCTGGTCGCTACGACCGGATGTACCAAGAGGACCACGAATACTCTAGCTTACTTGTCCTCTTGCAAATACTCAGGCGTGGCTGCCAGCTACTGATTATGTAGTACCGGATTTTGGATTGAAGCTATCGAATTTAGCCTATCGAACAAAGTCGATTACAACTACAAAGAATGTTGTTTTTCGCGAGCGGCCTCTACGCGGTCCTGACCTTCCTTCTCATCTCATCCTACTCGTCCTCGGCGACGTGGCGGCGATGAGCGCGAAACTGGTCCACCGCGCCAAAAGGAAGAGTGTTCTAATGACTAGAATCTGGAACCTGGAGCCGCCCGGTTCCCTCGTAGTCCTTATCAGCCCCTGTGTTCACTTTCCAACCGATTCGCCATCATCCCAGCCGGCCGCCCTGCCCGGACCGGCGCGAGCCAGTCGGACAAGCCGATTATCTCGCGAATAAAAATGGGCTCTGGATTATCATTCCAGGGGCGTGCTCGGGCGGCTCGGGCGCGCCGAACATTCACGGCGGTTGGCAGCACCTCGCGCCACGCCGCCACGCACCACGCCCTGGCAACGCCGTGGCAACGCCGTGGCAGCGCCCGCGCTTTGGAAGCGACCACACTGTCACCGCGGAGTCACCGGCAGGCGCTCCAGGATGGTCCAGGATAGTCCAGGACTCTCCAGAATCTCCAGAATAGTCTAGGACGGTCCAGGATGCTGGCGAAGACAGAGGACGCCTTCTGACAGGCAGAGCCAGGCCTAGGTACCTCATGATGAAAGAGCTAAGGGAGGAGTAGATTTCTTTTTCCGTGTGGGACTTGCAGAAGACCTGCGCCCTAGCTTGCCTATTATTAGCTCTGCGCCAATATCCTATCCTCCAAAATATGAATTATTTTCAAAATTAAAAAAAGAGTCTTACTTTTCAGTCTCAGGAGGCAGAGGGGAATAAAAACTATGTACCACAACTGCAGTGAAAATTCAAGACGCCGCCGATTGACATTTTTTTGCCCCGACCGCAATTAACGGCACGACTCTATAAACGTGGTCGGCGAGCGATTAATCAATATTTACCTCCGATTTCATTAGGCCGCCGCCGCCGCCTAGCCGTTTAACATTCCCACCGCCTTTTTTCCGAGTACTCGCCTACC